TTTTAAAAACTTTCATTCATAGATGATGAATAAAGGATGTGTAAATAATACATGATCTACAGATTTCACATCCTTTTAGTTGTACAGTATAATAATAATGAAATTCCATGTACTTTTTGTATCTACAAAATGATTTCCCTTTTTATTATTTCTGGTTGATTTATTAGATAAGTATCGGTTTAAATTCGAAATACCTAGTAAGTCATATGATGCCAATGTGATTTTTCTTGCATATATTTAATTCCGAAAAAAGATCCCATGTGATTTTTTTTTATCAAATAAAATTTATTTTTTTTCTGAAAATTCCCGTTTAAATAGTAATGAAATTATATTGACTTTCCTATAAAAGTTCGGTGTCCTGCCTGATTTCAACATGTAATTGATGGACATGATCGACATCCTTTTTTAGATAGATCACGATATATTCAAATGATATAGGAACGAACTGATTTGCGAAACTGTTTCTTGTTGATTTTGGCTGTCATGTTTCCTGGTCCAAGTTTTAAAAACCATAAAAATAAAGAACTAATTAGAGAGTAATGATCTACTACTCATAACATATGTAAGTATTATATACTTATAGTATAGTAATACGTTTGGCGTAATGTATTACTACACCAAACGTTGTAACTGCTATGCAAACATGCTTTGCATGCTAGGGGGGAGGGTGAGCATTGCTCACCATAGTCATATGATTTTATTCTTGTACTTTATTGGTATTTCTCTAATAGTAAGCTTCGTTCACCCTTGGTCATATGATTTTATTCTTGTACTTTATTATATTTCTCTAATAGTAAGCTTCGCTCACCCTTGGTCATATGATTTTATTCTTGTACTTTATTGGTATTTCTCTAACGGTAAGCTTCGCTCACCCTTGGTTATATGATTTTATTCTTGTACTTTATTGATATTTCTCTAATGGTAAGCTTCGCTTACCCTTGGTCATATGATTTTATTCTTGTACTTTATTGGTATTTCTCTAACGGTGAGCTTCACTCACCCTTGGTCATATGATTTTATTCTTGTACTTTATTGGTATTTCTCTAACGGTGAGCTTCGCTCACCTTTGGTCATATGATTTTATTTTTGTATTTTATTGGTGTTTCTTATAGATACCTAATTTGTATTACAATAAAGTCTATAAAAGAAATCAAATTGACAATGAATGTATTTATCTATACAACTATGAAAACTCGTGAACGAACTACCAATTCAATATATAATACTAGAATATTATTAAATCAAATAATAGATCTGTATATGTTAAGAAGAACACCAATCCCCAAAGAAAAAAGTAAAGTAATCAAGAAATATTTAACCAAAAGAGATAGAAACTCAAAATCTAAAAAGATACCAGATAATTTTATTATCTCTAAAGAAATCCCTATAGATACAGACAAAAAATTAGATGAAATCTCTGATAATACTAGTGATGATATCAAATTATCTACCTGTAATACTTGTACAAAAAGGAAATATACATACGTCGATATGGAAACACAGACAGATACAATTACATATACCAAGACAATAGTACAGATGACCAATGAATATTCAATTTTTGATTGCATTGATATAGAAGCACAAACAGATAATGTCGAGACAAAGGTACAGATGATCAACCAATCTTTGTTTTTTGATTTAGAAAAATATCACGATATGTTAAAAGATATTATCAACAAAAAAGTAAAAAGCGAAATAGGTGAATTCATACAGGAATATAAAAATGATTTATGAAAATTAGAATGTGCATTTTTCAAATTGAAGCCTAAACATATCTTCTTTTTCCCTTTTGAAAAACTTAAAATAATTACATTGGATAAATTTGGTATCTTGGAGGAAGTCGTGGATACGATACGGTCACCCGTTTCACATTTTATTCAAAAAATAACCTACATAAGTATGGGTCCAATAGAAAGATAGAGGCTAGTGAGATTTATTTTATCGTAGTATTAGAGATTGCTAGATTGCATAGCTTATCATTAGCCAAATAATTTCTGATTTAATTTATTTATGTATATTTACTAGAATTCTATTAAATAAACTATGTGATTTACTGATAGAACCTGATTCAGACTTTTT